CCGTCCACAGAAGAGTTTTATGCACAAGCTTCATATTCCCTCGCTGCATGTCCAACAAGACTCATACCCTCTCCGCCATCACGTGCTAGATGTTTGGCAACAGACATGACATTGTTGCCCTCTACACGGTGCAGTTCATGGCCGACCAGCACAGAAGGTTCCCTCTGATGCTCCATGTCGTTGTGCTGCCTTTGGTAGTCCCTCGGTTGCTCCTCGGCACTGTGATGCTTCTCGTTGAAATAGTCATCCGTAGCGTCAGCGCATTGTCGAAGGCCTTCCCACATCGCCCCCGTCCTGTGTTTGATCCACCACCTCGGTATCGCCCGTGAATTGACGCCACAACCCAACGTGTAACATAACTCAATGACAGCCTCCGAAGTTGCCACGTAGTTGGGGTTGTCATCCGCAGCTTGCATCAGCGTCCTTCTTCTATGTGCGCGCAACTTCTCCTTCATTTGTCCAAGCGCCCTCTACTGCTGACACCGAAGAACAATGGTTGACATTGCTGCTGCCACGGCTGCCCGCTCAAGCGGTGTCAACACCACACGTCTGCCCTCTCCGACACCCTCCATCGCCAGCACCTCCACAAGGATGACGTCTCTCCACTGCCGTCTCGATCCTCGCACCCCAGAGACATAACCCGCTCACCCCTCGAGGAGAGGTCTGAGAAGTTGTCGCCTTTCCGTGGATGTCGTCCCCCTAGCGGAACTGCGTGTAACAACACAGACGACACAGAGGAGAAGCTCGATGGCGATGGACGCACCCAACGCACACACTTACACTGACCAGGAGGGGCGCACGAGACTATGACGAACTATTTTCTATAGTCGCGTGACTTTCAGCGCGAAGCCGCTTGGGGAGATACGACGGGTCGGACGGATGAGCTGCGAAGAAGACGGGCTGGTCAGACAAATTGCAGGGATGCCCTGGTTTCGTTTTGTTTTCTGCTCGAAGTTGTCGGATCAATGTCTGGAACATCTCGTGCTAACGATTGTGTAGTCGCGCCTTAGCGAGCGTGGGAAATAACTGTACCATAACTTCTTTTTTGTAATGCTGTGAGCATTGGGAATTTCGGCACGACTTCCGCGCGGGAATGTCGTTTTTGATTTTCAACTGATGCCGAGCCCCCACGGGCTTGCGAAATTGTTTTTATTTTGCCTATTCGGAATTTTCTTTTGCAATTACGACTTAAGCTAGGAATTTAGGCACCTTCTGAATTTTGTTGAGCGGCGCTTCCTGCTTACACATGCCTTGTCACGACAAGATCTGGGTTCTGACATGTGTAGCATCGTGTTCGGGTTCGGTGATCGAACCCGAACGTTCGGGACCGAATGCGAACGAGCGCTAAAAGTCTCCGAACACAAACAAAAAATATTTAAAAAAAAAAAAAAAGTTTTCCAAAAACTTTGAAAAAAAGATATATTATGTAAAATAATAATACAAACAAGTTTTGCCTTGGAGGTATGGTCAAATTCGTAACGAAACTCGAGTTAAAAATCAAAAGCCAATTTTTTTTATTAATTTTGTTTTAATATGTTCGGTCGAACACGTTCGTGTGGCTTTCGGTCGAACACCCAAACATGTTCGGACGTTCGGAAAAGCTCCGAACATGTTCGGTGTGCTACATAGGTTCTGACTTCTTTTTGCTCCTTAATCTTGCGCGTAACTGTAAAGTTTTGGCGGGTGTGATTGCAACTGTAATCTTCTTGTTCTTGATGTCCTTCGTGTTGTTCCCTCTTTCCGCCTTGTGTTCGCCCGTGCATGCACACCTTCTTCCCCGACCTGATTGGTTCCTACGATTGCATGCCCGAATCGATGCGAGGAGAGTGGTTATGTCCTCCGTGCCGCGGCCTAGACATGCATGCGTAAGCACTTCCTTTCTTCTCCTTCTGACCACTTGGGCTTAATCCCGTATCCTTCGCACAAGCATGCACGCTACAAATTTCGCAAGCACGATAAGTTACTCTCTAAGAATTTCGAGGTTAGCGTGATCAGTGAGGGTTGGCTAACGAGCAAGCTTGGAAGGTAAGTGAGTGCGAGAGTTGGGCGATCCGACGAGCTGGTGTCGGGTATGTGGGGTTGACATGAGGGGCCGCGACGGACTGTGGCGCAAACCTAGCTTGCATGCTCGAACCAAGCGGGGTGACAACTTTGTGTTACGTGGCGACGGACTGGCGGTATCAGGGGTGTAGAGCACACACAGAGAGAGAGAGAGAGAGAGAGAGAGAGAGAGAGAGAGAGAGAGAGAGAGAGAGAGAGAGAGAGAGAGAGAGAAGTTGTGAATGGGGAATAAAGAGAGAGCAGGTTTGTATGCGGGATAAGGTCCCATCTTTTGCTGATCTATACAATCTTGGTTTCTGCTATGACCGATTTTGTTGCGTCCTTTTTTATTTTTCCTTGTAAATCGTCTCGGATCTCGTGTGTATGCATGAATGGATGTAAACTCTTTTTGCGTTAGTGATCTTCTCGGATTTTTCACTCTTGTTTTGCGATGCCTGTTTAATTCAAATTTCGTCACTTATCCGTCTGTATGGGCAACACTCTCAAATCTCATGGGAAACACCCGATATGGATGCACGAATGTACTCGACAGTTACCGATCGTTGTCAGATCACCAGGAATATTGAGAGGTGTTGATTGTCCTCACCCTTTTTCTCTCCTTTTATCACATGAATGACATGGATGTGAATGTAATGTTTGGATCTCACCCAACATAGCATGAATAGGATAGTTGCATGCAGGACGAGCGCCGGATCGATCCGCTTTCGCCCACGTGTACGCTCACGTACAACCGCGAGCTCGAGGAAACCGGGTCGCAGCATACACGCGTGTCTGCATGAGTCGACCGCGAACCCTGTACAAAGATGCAGGGGACCGAGCTTGCTAAACGGATATGGCTGCGGGATTTCCCTCTTGGATGTCTGATCGTGAGAGTCTGAGGGACCCGGAATCTCGCGAATACTGGGAAAGTGAACAACTCTGACGGCGGGGGAACTTAAGAAATCCGGAATTCCCTTGTCTGACAGAGAACGACCGATTGTGCGCAAGGGACTTTCAGTGTGCCATAACTAACGATCCCCGGGGGCCCCGACTACCCGGATACTTATAACACGCAATATTTCATATCCCCGGCTTTGTTGTCATTACCACCAATTTCTCTCCCTTTCACCTCCTCCTTCGATATCACGAACTGACGGTGGTGCCGTGGAATTTCATAGCCCGCTATTGGCCCCACAACCCGTGCAAAAAGTGTCAGCGACACCAGGCATATCGAGCCTCGAAAACTGCTTGAGGAACCCGAACCGAAGGCGAACGGCACCGACAACTGGTCGAACCGCATGACCAACCGCAAAGGCGAAACCAGAGGAGAGGGTGATTTCCTTTTTCGGGTTTTAAAGCTGATGAAAATTGAGTTCGTTGGCAAGGGCAATGTTGTTGGGATTTTGTTCGAGAACGCAAGAGTGTTTAGATCTATCGGTGCTGTGATTGTGGAAGAGTACCCCGGGATCTTAGTCTGGGATGCACTGCGCATACCATCTGCCTTATGCTGCACGACATCTGCGGCTTTCCTTCTGTACACAAACCATGAGAGGTGGCCTACCTTCCTTCTTATAAAAATTAAAGCGCCAAGTACGACCTGAACATACCCTCTTGCGCTTTTACCCCTGAAACTTGCCATAGGAGATCTCAATTCCGACCTGGGACTCCACCCCCACTTTCCTAAAATCCTTGGCACACCCGCTTTTCGCACTTCCGGGCCCCCATCCTACTCCGAACAGGAAGTCGCGCTGGGCGTGAGGTTTGGGCGTCACAGGACGCCGCCGCTAAGGCCGATTCAGCCCTGCACCGTCTACGCACCGCAAGCCAAACGCCGTCGTCGTCACCACAGCCGTATTAATTTCAAACGTAGAGGTCCCCTTCTTTATTTGATTTTTTGTGGCCTGCCTCATGCTCTTTCCCGCTGGACGTCGCTGGACCACGCCGTCTCCACACGGACAGCTGGACCACGGACACCCCCGCCCGGCCGTGTATTTTCGTATGAAAATGGTCGCCAGCAGGCCACAAGAAAACGTCCTCGAGGGACATCTACAAGGATGTGTGCAAGGACGCAGCAAAATTCCCTTACCAGCCACAAGGAAAATTCTAACGACGACCTAATTCTGCTAACTCTGCCCAACCAATTCAAATAGCTGTCAAATCTGGACAGGGTGGCCTTCCAGGCCTTTTTCATTGTCATTCTAGCAGCCACATCCCTGCTCAAGCCTCCAACGAGGGAACATGTGGGAGCTGCACCCACTAGCAGGTGCCATATCTGCCACATCAGGACCTAGCTTCTTTGATGGCCCAGTCACTGTGCCTCCCCTCCGGTCCGAGCTTCTTCGATGGCCCAGTCACTGTGCCTCCCCTCCGGTCCGCTCCCCCTATCAAACTCGTAAGGAGTGTCTAACGACGACCTAATTCTGCTAACTCTGCCCAACCAATTCAAATAGCTGTCAAATCTGGACAGGGCGGCCTTCCAGGCCTTTTTCGTTGTCATTCTAGCAGCCACATCCGTGCTCAAGCCTCCAACGAGGGAACATGTGGGAGCTGCACCCACTAGCAGGTGCGATACGTGCTACATCAGGACCGAGCTTCTTGGATGGACCAGTCACTGTGCCTCCCCTCCTCCGGTCCCCTCCCCCTATCAACATCAGCAGTCTCTGCTCAATGCCACTCGGGGGGGGCAACGGCATATCTGTAGGTGGCGGGCGCCAAGCTTTCCCAGGAAGGTCCATGAGGCCAATGGGGATTGAACCCAAGACCTCCTGACTGCCACTTGCGTGACTTACCAACTGAGCTAGGCCGCTGGATGAGCAGTTCAATGACGATACCTCAATGACGTCGTCTTAGGCAGGGGAAAAGAAAAAAAGAAAAACAAGAACAATAAGACATTTGGCTCAGAGAGTGAAGATGGCAGGACACTCGTGAAGAGTCGGAGCGAGTACATACTAGTTAGTTGGCGAGAGTGCTGACCAGTGCGGATAGACAGCCGTCGAGAGCGGTAGGGAAGATGGAAGAGTCCACTGTCTGACATTTGATTGCCACTTCGAAGTGATGAATAACCCCGTGAATCTGCGCTATCGGGTTCACGAAGGATTCTAGCCATGGTAATGGTCAGATTCATCCGGAGAATGCCGAGTCTGAGTGCGCGTTACTCCTGTTTTTGAGCTCTCTCCGTTCCTTTCTCTTCTGTCTTCAGCCCTTTCTTATCAATTCCTGGTTTTTCCATCCCCTCTGAGCTCGTGTCTACCTCCGTTACATGATTGTCGTTAATCGTCAACCTCGTTCATTCTTAGAGCGCTCCCCGCCTAAGAAGCTCGTTCAAGTGCTTCTGGTTCGCCCTTGTGGTGGGTCGCTAGCGCGAGTGTCCTACCTCCGTCGTACTGCTCAAGTAGTTAACGGGGAAGAGGGTAGAAAGACGGGCAGAAAGAGGGGCACAGAGAGAGAGAGAGAGAGAGAGAGAGAGAGAGAGAGAGGGCGAGAGATCAAATAGGATCTGAGTGAGGTCGGCGGTTTGGCTCGGCGTAGTAGTCGGGGGAGGGGAGAAAGTCACCATGGCGGCCGAGTATGCATTGGACCATATGTATTACTGGATATACATCCTGGCCATCATCCTGTCGTTCTTTATGGCATGGGGAATCGGTGCCAACGATGTGGCCAACTCATTCGGGACATCCGTGGGGTCGGGTGCCATCACCTTGAAGCAGGCAGTGGTGATTGCGTGGGTGTTCGAGTTCTCCGGGGCTTTCTTCATGGGAGGCCGCGTGGCCGATACGATGAAGGGCGGCATAGTGGACCCGAAGATCTTTTTGATCCCGGACGGTAAGTTTGACAAAGACGGCGCGGCGCTGCTCATGTGGGGCATGTTCATCGCGATCGCGGTTGCCGGCGTGTGGATCGCCCTCGCCACCTTCTACGGCATGCCCATTTCCACCACACACTCCATCATCGGCTCCTTCATTGGCTTCAGCATGGTGGCCAAGGGAGCGAACTCCGTCTTCTGGTACAAGGAGGACCCGAAGAGCGATCTGAAGGTCGGGGGATTCGCTGCCATCGTCGTGTCATGGGTGCTGACGCCCCTTATCGCCGGCATGGCCTCCGTCATCCTCTTCACTTTCACGAAGATAGTCATTCTCCGGCCGCAGAACTCGGAACGGAGGACGCTGATCGCTATGCCSATCTACTACGGCCTGACCGCCTTCATCATTACCTTCTTCATCGTGTACAAGGGGTCGGCCCGGCTGAAGCTGAGCGACATCGGGAACGTGAAGGCCACCTGGATCGCCATAGTCGTCGCCGTCGGGGTCGCCTCCCTGGCCGCCCTGATCGGCATTCCTCTTGCGAAGAAGAGACTGGCAAATCTGGAGGATCGCAAGCAGCGCAAGGCGGAGCAGAAGGCGCGCGACAAGGCTCTCATTGCGAAGGTTGCAGGGGACGGTGCCAAAGAGAGGGACGAGGAGAAGGGTGGGCAGGGATCGAAAACGCCGGCAAGCAGAGTCGACGACGGCGCACGGCCGTCGATGACGGCATGGCAGCGTGTCAAGGCGTGGTACCTGCTGGTGGAGAGCAAGACAATCTCGCATGACCTGGAATTCACCGAGCACACGCTGGATCTGCACTCMCGCGCCGAGATGTTCGACGAAAGGTCKGAGGAGCTCTTCAGCTTCCTGCAGGTGCTCACTGCCTGCGCCGCAGCCTTCGCCCACGGCAGCAACGACACGGCCAACGCAATCGGCCCTCTCTCCGCCGTCCAGAACATCTACCAGGGAGACGCAGTGAAGTTCGACGCCAAGAAGGGGAAGCTCACGCTCCCCAAGCTGGAGGTGGAATCGTGGCAGCTGGCCATGGGGGGTTTCGCACTCGGTCTCGGTTTCGCCGTCTGGGGATGGAGGATGGTGCGCAACCTGGGCGGCGCTGTGACGAAGATGACGCCGTCGCGAGGTTTCACGGCGGAGCTCTGCGCCGCCATGACCGTGGTGGTTGCCAGCCGCTTCGGTATGCCGATCTCCACCACGCAGACGCTGGTCGGCGCGACCGTTGGGGTTGGCGCTTCCGACGACTGGAGGAACGTCGACTGGTGGCTCTTCGGGCAGTTCGTTATCTCCTGGGTTGTGACCATCCTCTTTGCGGGCTTCGGTACGGCGGCCGTCTTCGCCTTCACTATCTTCTCCCCTTCCGTACAAGTGTAAACAGACGTAAGCGCCCCCCTCCCCCCTTCCCCGACCTCCCTGCCCTGTCCGAGAGCGAGCAAGGACACCAGCGCCAGCGTTCGCTGCTTCTTTTTCGCTTTCCTTCAGTTCTGATAACGACCGACTCTACTCCTGCATCCTCCAGACGATTCAAGAGTGGCGTGAAACCTCTTCCACGGTGCGTGTTTCCGGCATTATCATCGACATCGCCATTCATACTGCCACGGTGGAAGAAGCGCAGGTCGTCAAAACTACCGCGAAGGAACCCCCGAGCGGAGGGAGGGAAGTCACCGCGCTGGCGTGTGGTGCGGTTTCTCACGTACTTGCGCCGCCGCACGTTGGGCGATGGCTCCCCACGGAGTCTTGCGCGACTATCGGCTTGCTGCGGCTGCTTTCATCTACGCCCTGGTAATCCGGCCGCTTCGGCCGGTTCTCCCTCAGCTGTTGTGTAGCGGCTGGGTTTGTTGGGAGGAAGCCTACGTAAGCCTTTGTTCATCGTAGTAAACTAGAGGAAACGCCCGGAAGCTTCCTGTTTAGGATTTGCCAGACGCATTTATCTGTTAACCGAGTAACAGTTCGACTACCGTTAGTCGAGCAGTCGGGGACGTGACTGGCAGACTGCAGTAGTATTTGTAATCGTTCTAGTGCTAGCAGGAAGGATTTGGAGGTTGATGAGGCCGACCGAGGAAGCAACAGCAGCAGCAGCAGACGTAGCACCATCAGAAGTAATATAGGAGTAGTTTACTAGTGCTTTACTAGTAATCTAGTAGTTCGATAGTAGCTGTAGTAGTAGTGGTGTCGGTAGTAACAGTTCTAGTACTAGTAGTAGTGGTAGTAGTAGTAACGAGCAATCGGATGATGTGGCAGAGGTAGACAACAGTAGTAGTAGTAGTGGTAGACTAACTGGGCTGAGGAGCAGTTAGGGTAGTCGATAGAAATAATCGGAGCGTCCTAGCACCGGTAGTAATATTTATTGAAGATGACACCGAGGATGAGGCGAGGAGGAGGAGGAGGAGGAGGAGGAGGAGGAGGTAGAGGTGACGACATCCGGCGGCGTTTCTTCTCTGCTTTTTAATTTATTGTCGATGCTTGCGCTGCTTCTCTTCTCTCTTGTGTCAGAGGAGGAGGCGGAGGAGGAGGAGGAGGAGGAGGAGGAGCGAAGTCCGAGCTACAGTATGGACTGGGAGAATCATGTTACCGTTACACTTCCAAACCACTTTTATTCTGTTCAGGGTATTTGACCGATCGAACTCTATTCGTTCGTGCCGTTTCACAGTTTTGGTCACGACGTCTGAGCGTCTTACTCGTAGGGGGGGGGATGGACAGTAAGAGACCCGGCGTCGGGCATTGTCAGTCTCTCTGCGACTGTGGTTGCTAGACAGGCGAAGGTAAGGACGATGAACGAGCCGCACGTTCGCAGAGCCACAACAATTGTGTGGATGGGTGCGTAACCCCGAGCAGAAGAAGTAAAGATGTATAGAAGACACGTATGCACATGCACATAGACTATGTATATACCTAGACATGAGTAAGCCAGCAAGAAAGAACCATTCGCGGGGACACAGATATGAGAGAGAGAGAGAGAGAGAGAGAGAGAGAGAGAGAGAGAGAGCGAGAGAGCGAGAGTATATACCAAGACATGACTAAGCCATCAAAAAAGAAACAGTCGCGGGGACACAGACATGAGAATGAGCGAGAGAGAGAGAGAGAGAGAGAGAGAGAGAGAGAGAGAGAGAGAGAGAGAGAGAGAGAGAGAGAGAGAGAGAGAGAAAAATGCCAGAGGGGAGTGTCTGAGTGATCGCAACTGCTTGATTGGCTCGTGGGGGGTGCGCCGCTCCGGTGTTTGCAATAATAAGGCGACAAACGACAACATTGTTTTACAATCTGTTTCGAAATTACTGTGGATAAATTCCGCATTAAGTTTATCTTGCCCTTACTTTTTTGTTTTCTTTTTTATGGTGCGAACATATCTTCTTTACAAACTAATTTATTAACAAGTATAAATGGGCATGATGGTCATGAATGGGGGGGTATTGATGACGTTGCGAATTTATCTTCCATAATTGTCATTTACTTCGTCTTTTGTGTTCTTTTTTGTTTTGTTTCTTTTCCCTGTTCTTTCTCTTTCGCTCTGATAATTTTGCCTCACTCGTTTCTTTTTTTTTTTTTTTTTTACCTCTCACTCGTTTCGATTACGACAGGTAGTCAGACCTGTTGGATTCGTTTCCTCTCTTTTTTTTTTTTTTTTTTTTTTTTTTTTTTTTTTTTCGAGTCGTTTCCTTTTAAAGGGGTGAGTTGAGATATCATCGTCAATGAATAATGAATCGAATTTTGAATTGAATTTCCTATTAGCCTCTAACTCGGAATTGTTTTTCCTATTAGCCTTTAACTTAAAAACCAAAAAAAAAAAAAAAAAAAAAAAAAAAAACGTTTTTCCCGTGTTCATCTGATTGCATCGGGATTCGAACTCGGGTCTACATTTCAGGAATTTGCAACTGTCCATGGGTGTACCAACTGAGCCACCTTCTTCCCCCGAATAGAACGTACGGTCAGTATAGCTGTATCTAGACTGAAAGATGCTTCAAATACAGCTATAATGACCGGCGTACGTTCTATTCCGGGGAAGAAGGGTAGGCCCGTTGGTGTACGTTTGCTACCTTCTTCCCCCGATTGCAACGTACGCTCATTATAGCTGAATTTGGCGTATCTTTCAGTCTAGATACAGCTATACTGACCGTACGTTCTATTCGGGGGAAGAAGGTTAGGTGCTCATGCTGCCATCATCTTCTCTGGATCAAGAAGCGAAGCGTCGTCTTTTTTTTTTGTTTTTGTTTTTTTTTTTTTTGTTTTGGAAAGCAGGCAATTTATCGTCGTCGTCATTTCCCACCACCCACGTCTTCACCAGATTTCCTGCCGTCTTTTTTTCCTCTGTTCGTATGTGTTTTTTTACGCGCTTCTTCTTTCGTTCTTCCTTTTCTTTTTGAAGCAGAGTATCGATCTCGCGACCTTCTTTCTATCCAACTCGTTTCAATTACGAAAGCCAGTTATCTCTGCTCGGTGCTCATGTCGCCCTCGTCTTCTCTGGGTCAGCAAACGCAGCGTTATCGTCATCGTTTCCCACCACACGTGTCACCTTCGCGGCTTCGGCGTATCCATAAGATTCTTGTTGTTCTCTTTCTCATTAATTTCACTATGGGCCAGATCCCATAGTGAAAGTCTCGCATACTGTGCCGGAGCTGATCGTCATTTGCTATGCACGTTTTCGCGTTTCGTTTTGAATTGGACATCTATCTGTGTTTGCCTTGGGTAAACGACTCCGCTGCATATTGTTGTTTTTTCCACGCCATGCATCGTCTATAATCTACTCAGATCCCACTTCATTTCTGACCGTTGATCTCCGTAATCGAGGGTGAAAAATGAATAATCCAGGGTAGTGGGATCTGTCCCTAAATTGCCATTGGATGTTTCGGTTTCTTTCTTTCTGTTTTTTTTTTCATCGTGCTCATCTGATTCCATGGTTCGTGTTGCGTTGGCCTACGCACACTACAGTTTTTCTACTTGTTCGTGGAGGTAATTGCAGTCTCATATATCCAGGTTTTCTACCGTAAATGCAGCCACATATACATTTACGGTAGAGATAGTGTGCGCAATGTGCCATTGGTCACACGATTCATAGACTTGTACTCCACCGCTGTTCCTTGGAGAGTTTCCTTTTTTTTTTTTTTTTTTTTTTTTAATTTGGACCATTTCTCGATTTATGCGTGTCATCCTTGCGCAGGGACCATTTGCTAATTTACCCTTCTCTGTATCGTTCCAATATTAACGGATGTCCCGAAGGACAGAGTTTCCCCTTTTCACATTAAGGGCATCGCCACACCACTCTCGAAAAGTGAAAAAGACAAAAATGTGGCGGATGCATTTGGCCATGTTCTAGCGGGAAGTTTATTCTCATTTTGCACATTTCAAGAGTGGTGTGGCGATGCCCTAAGTACGGCGTTGAATTCGTAATAATCCGGTCGGCTCCACTGCGCGCCGATTATTACGGTAGAGATAGTGTGTGTGGGTACTATGCCCTCAGTCACACGATTTATAGAGTTAATGTACGTCGCTTAATTTGTCATAATCCGTGAGGCTCCACTGGCCGCTGATCTTTACGGTAGAGATAGTGTTCGTACTATGCCCTCGGTCACATGATTCATAGAGTTGTAATCCACTCCCGTTCTTCCGACAGTTTCCCTTCATTCGGAAAACATGAACTCCATCATATTGGTGGGCAGAGTTTCCCCTTTTTACATGAAGTACGGCGCTTAATTCGTAATAATCCGTGAGGCTCCACTGCCCGCAGATCTCGTTGCTCTTTGGCAAGTTTTTTTTTTGTTTTTTTTTGTTTTTGTTTTTTTTCTGGCGAGTTTTCCAGCCCCTCTGGTGCAGCGGTAAATGCCGCCACGTACATATCCGGTAGAGATAGTGTGCGTATGCCCTCAGGCAGACGATTTATAAAGTTGTTGTTGTTGTTGTTGTTGTTTTTGAAGAGCATTGTATCTTTTATTGCTTATGATTTATAAAGTTGTTCTCCCCCGGGGCGGACCCGTGACTTTGGAGAGGAAGTCGACGCCAACTGTAATCCGGGCGAACTGCACAGAGGACTTTGGTCGGTACTTGAGCGATCACGACCCCACGACTTGGTGCTTTCTGGACCTTAACGAGTTCGCGCCGGATAACTCTGACTTTGACAAGTTCTGGAAGGCTCATCAAGAGAATGAAGAAGTACCGTCGGACGATGACCCAGGTCGCATAGCCATCGCGGGGCTGTCTGAGGAAGAAGAGTCGAAAGCTCGGTCGACGTCGAAGGAAGAAGAAGGGGCGTCCGCACCTGAGCCACGGGAGGCTCCTCCAGCTCGATCGCCACCTGCCATTCGGGGAGGATCCGCTTTGAATCCCGAAGTTCCCTTGGACGCCACTAGTCGACATGATGGCGCAGCAACCTCCCGTTGGCACCGTCGTTCCCGTTCACCTTCTCCCTCGTCCGCCCTCTCCGCGCTTCAGTCCCGTCCTCCTCCCGGTCCGGACATTGCGTCCTCGTCTCATCTTTCGCCGCCCCCTTGATAACCTTTCTTCCTCCCCTCTCCCCCACATTGAATTCCCTCTGAATTACCGTATTTTCCCTAATCAAATGTTTTGTCATCATTTCGCCGCACGACTTTTGTATACAGTCTTTCCCTATCGCTCTCCCTCCTTCCCTCTCAACATCCTCCTTTTCAGTGTCCCTTGGAGATAATACAATCACATGGAATTGTATTGTATTGTCTCTGGGACCTTTCCCGCTATGAAAGACTATGAGTCCCTGCGGGATAATGTGCTCCGTATCATCCCCTCTTTGTACCCTGACCATCTTCTATCCCTGTCCCAACCTAATCATCGATTCCCTAAACCTATGAATCCCCCGCGGTCATGACCGCAGAGTCAATCTCGGCCCTCGGTCTGGATCCCGACCACGGAGATCGGCTGCGGGCGGGGGCCGCGGTCCCGATTTTGGAACATTTTTTTTCCTATTAAAAATATACCCAAAATATATATATATGGGGTTGTAGGGTTTGAAGACACCTACATGAGCATATTTTTTGTTTTGAATTACGAAGTGTTTTTTCATTTAAAAAAAATAGAAAACCAAAAAACAAGTATTTAAATCAAAAGAAACATAATAAAAAAAAAGGAACACAGGTTCGACCCCTTTCCCACCAACGTGTGTGTGTGTGTGTGTGCGTGCATGACCATGTGTGTGTGTGTGTGTGTGTGTGTGTGTGTGTGTGTGTGTGTATGTGTGTGTGTGTGTGTGTGTGTGTGTGTGTGCATGTGCTGGGGGGAAGGGCGACCCCTTCCCCACCAATC